GAAAAGAAAAGAAAAGAAAAGAAAAGAAAAGAAAAGAAAAGAAAAGAAAAGAAAAGAAAAGAAAAGAAAAGAAAAGAAAAGAAAAGAAAAGAAAAAATAACAACAATAAAACAGCCCAAATCGCCTCAGGAACGACGCCCAAATGCTTCACAAAATGGCGGCACCGCCCCCTGAGCCGCCCTTCCCGCCTCCTGCAGGCCACGCCCACGCCGCCCGGGCCCCTCCCACGGCACCCAGGCCCCGCCCACACAGCACAGGCCCCGCCCTACACCCCAGCCCCGCCCCTGGGAGTCAGACCACGCCCCCCAGTGCCCCAGCCCCGCCCCTGGCGCTGCAGGGGGCGTGGCCCTGGGCCCGGCGGAAGTCGCTCCTCTGGGCACCCCAGGCGCCCCGTGGTGCTGGCGCTGAGTGACAGCTCCGCAGCCCAATCGGATGGCAAAAGGTGAGGGGTTCCCCCGCCTTTCCCGGTAGGGGGCGGGACTTCCGGCGGGTGTTGCCGCGGCGGTGCGGTTCGGCGGGAGCGGGGGACAGCGGCGGCGGCGCCATGATCAAGAAGTTTGACAAGAAGGACGAGGAGGCCGGTACGGGGTGGGGACGTGAGGGGAGCGACCGGGAGGAGCCCGGCGCGGCCTCCAACGGCCCCGCTGACGGGGTGGGGGAGGGGAATAACGGCCGTTGGGGCCAGTAACGGCCGTTGAGGGGCCAGTAACGGCCGTTGGGGGGCCAGTAACGGCCGTTGGGGGGCCAGTAACGGCCGTTGGGGACAGTAACGGCCGTTGGGGGTGTCCACCTCCCCTGAGGCCGCTCTGTGGAGGCCTCAAATGCCCCCCGTTGGGTTTGGGTTTCAGCTCACCCTTAACTCCCTTCTGCCTGGGAAAGGCTCAGGAAAAGGGTCCAGGAGCTGGGTCTGCAGGGATGTGATTCCGACGGGTGTTTTCCTTGTAAACCTGCATTAGGAAGTTATCTGCCCTGTGTGCTGCCAAACATCATCCAGAGGAGCAAAACATCATCCAGAGCTCTTTCCTTGGGCTTCTACTCCCAAGTGCTAAAGAGATGACAGTCCCTCCTGCCTTCCTTACCTTGTCTGGAGCTTAGGCCTTCCACTGGCTTTCCATCAGAGACCCAAACTTATTTTGTGTAAAGATGATTCTCCAAAGCAGGGAGCTGTGGAAGATATTTATGTTCTCCTATAATAGGCACAGAGATGGTTTGTGCTTCACGTTTTCCCTCTGCAGCATGTTTGAAGTCTCTTGCAGAGCTTGTTTTTAGCTGCTGGGTAATATTCAGGCTCCACAGACTGTTATAGAGTCTGCAGAGTTTTTCTATTATTAATTTTGTGATACAGAACCACAGAATGGCTGAGGTTGGAAGGGACCCCCAGGGCTCCCCCAGCGCAGCCCCTGCTCCAGCAGGGACACCCAGAGCACGGGGCACCCGGGCGCATCCCGGCGCGCTGGCAGATCTGCAGAGCAGGAGCCTCCGCAGCCTCCCTGGGCAGCCTATTCCAGTGCTATGCATACCAGTCACACTGCAGATACGTAGCAGTCACACTGTTTTTGCAGCGTGCTGGATAGCTCTTTCCAGTGACACATTAATCAATAAACTCTAATTTTAGATCCTTAGCAGCATCTGCATCCTGATATGTTCAGTGCTCTCTGTGCCTGAAATAGAAAAGGGGAGTCTAGGAAGAAAAGGAGTAGAGCCTCATGTAAAGCGAGTATTAAGACAGCTTTAGTAGTAAATACTTTTCTTCCTCCAACCTTTCATTTGTCTTTAATCTGACCTTTTTTCTCTTCCTCTCTTCCTTCTTCTTTGTCTCTTCCTTCCTCTTTTTTTCCTGTTACTCGCATCATAACAGGAAGGAGATTGAAAGCTGTTGTTATTGAACGTGTGTTATTCCAAGTGCAGGGTCACTGGAGGGTTTGTTCTCCATGTGGTGAGATGTTTCCATGAAGCTCAGGGCTGGTTCCTGCACCTTCTCTTCTATTGTTTTCACACCGTGATGAACGTGTTTCCCTAACTGAGAGATCTCTTTTCTTATTCAGGTAGTGGCTCTAATCCATTCCAGCACTTGGAGAAGAGTGCCGTGCTCCAGGAGGTAGGAATAATTACTCAATAGTGTTGCTTACCTGCCTCTGATTAGGATGTGATGGATAATTTAAATTCACAGGAGCAGATGAATTAAGAGTACGTGAAGTTCACCATGGGAGAATTTTATATGAGGAACTTGGATGGAAATAGGCTCCTGGTTTCCATGTGGATGCACAGGATCCTCCAAGGCACTTGAGAAGAGATTTCTGCTTTCCTGTGCTCATTCAGCATGGAGCAGAGTATAGTGATCAATAATGTTCATAGCAGTCTTCCTGCTTCTTTATATGTACTCCAAGAACAATTGCAAGTAGCAAGATGGATGGGTGATTAAATATTTAGGTAATTCTTTGGGGTGCAAAGGGATATAAATAGGAACTTAATTTCAATTTGTTGTTCACATGGACTAGCCATGAATAGGGCAGATACACTGAGTAGATACAGCTGCCCAAAGGAATTACGTTGAACATTTAAAAACCATGTTTTTATTTTAAAATAATATTATTGGTACCAAATGCCTAGAATGAGTTTTGATTAAGCTGTGAATTGAGAGCCTGATAAAATGAGTTCAGATTGCTGCTCACCCAGCAAGGCATCCCTAAACTGAACAACCAGAGTTAAGTTCATTGGGTTGCATTTCAAAGAGAAAGTTATAAGCAACTTGGATGAAAATAAATTGCTTTAATATCTGTTGTAACGGGAAAAAATATTGTTGTTGGGATACACCGTAATATTTGTGCTGTTTGTAGGCACGTATCTTTAATGAAACCCCTATAAATCCAAGAAGATGCCTCCACATACTTACCAAGATCCTTTACCTGCTGAACCAGGTAATCGTCTCTTCCTAATTTTAACTGAGTGTTCCTGGTGGTAATTTCTGATTATTGTCAGGGAAAGAAATTTTGTACCTCTTCTGGTGGACTCAAAAGACAACTTTTTAACAATATCAAGCAGAGTTAGTACTCTGTTTTGCTTGTGATTGCTCTCTAAGGTGGGCTGAGAGGTGGCACCAAAGAATTTATGACTTTTCTGAGTGTGAAATGAGAGCTTCCAGGTGGTCTGTGTGTGTTTACTATGGTGCTGTGTAATTAAGAGTTGTTCTTGTCTGGCAAAATAACTGAGTCAGGCAAGAACAGAAGCCACAAGTGAAAGGTGTGTGCATTTTTTTTGTTTATTTTTTCTCTTTTTGTGGAGAAATTGGAAACCTGATAAGGAAGCAGATTTTCCGTATGTATCCATGTAAGCAGATTTCCTGCCCTGTTGGGCAATATTTAACATAGAACTAGGATCACTTGGGATGAACCTATGCTGTTCAGTCTTAGTTGGCATGTCATATGTTAAATAAATTGCAAGGGGATCCTTTTCATTAACAAAAATGAAGCAGAATTAACTGCTGATGCTTGGAAGTCAAAAGGGGGAATGTAGGGATAAGAGTCAACATAATTGACAAACTATTGTCAAATATAATAGACAAACTATCCCATTTCTGTACAGCTGTGGGTGACATTTGTGTTGAAGCCAGTTAGGTAAAAATGGGTCATTTTAGCCTGTGCTCTCTGAGAAACACGAGGTGACGGAGGGACTTTCTCAGAGGAGAAAACATCTTTGAGGAAAGAATTATCAGTATAAGAGTAGATGGCACAAGCGAGGAGTAGAGCCTGGTGGAATATGATTCTTTGGCAAATCTCTCACTTCTTGTTTGCCTCTTTTTTTAGGGTGAGCACTTTGGAACCACTGAAGCCACAGAAGCTTTTTTCGCAATGACCAGATTGTTTCAATCTAATGATGTAAGTGTCTGGTTTTAATGTATTATTTCGATCCTTTTCTGTGTGTGTATATGTTTAATGCTTTTTGCCTCTCTACTCTTGGCTGCATTTATAAATAACTGCAAAACAGTTGAGTTTAATGATGTGGGAAGAATGTGGAGCAAGTACTTTAGAAAACAAGCTGTGCATGCAAATGACTTGCTCATCATAGTTTGGAAATAATTGATTGCATAATAACATATAGTTACCTTGGTGAGGGTGAGTGTTTTTATTTTATTTCTTGAATTAATTTCCAGTTCTAAGGCACATGAGCAGAGATAGGGAAATATACTACAGAAATCACTATCATTTTGTCGGTGTGTCCTGCACTTGCAAATAATCTCCATTTGTTTAGCTGTTAAAAGAAAATTTAAGAAGTTGCCTGTAAATCAGATACTAATGTTCCCTAGAAGAGCTTATTATGTTGATAACCCAGCAATAAATCATGAGAATATCCTGAAAATGTTGGATGGAACTTTTGACCACTGAAGTCCCTTTCAGATCTCTTTGCAGATAGCTTCAGAGCTCCATAATTTAGAGGAATGTACTTTATGCAATGTAGCTTTATTTTGGTTAAAAACAAACCAGCACATTAAATTTTTTTGAGATTTGCCTGCAGAAGGTTTCATGTACAACTGTTTAAAGAAGTAACGGAGTGTTTGTGACATATCCATATTCTAGAAGATGGTTATTTTTAGTGCAAAACATGTTTTTAGCAACATATACTTTCACAGAGTTAATTGTTAGTGTTTTTTTCTCTGACAATAAATAGGTCAGGGTAGTCATTTTTAAAGTTTTTAACAATAATTATATGGATTCTGCACACAGATTATCACTTAAAATTAACGTGATCCCCTCATTCACTGAAATTAGGTAGAGGTTCTGCTTTGCAGCAACGTGGGTTTCGTCTTCACTTTAATTTGTGCTCTATTTTTTTGTGAGGTTCACTGCACTAACAGAACTTCGCAAAAACTGGGTGATAATCTTCACAGTCTATGATGAAATTAGACATACACATAGTGTAAAGATTGAGGGGGAATGAGGGTGTTCTGTGACTTCATGTAACTTCTAAAACTTCTAAAGGCAAGATTTATTCCCATTTTTTTTTCAATATATTTTCACAGCAAACCCTTAGAAGAATGTGTTACCTTACAATCAAAGAGATGGCCAATATCTCTGAAGATGTCATCATTGTCACCAGCAGGTAGTAGAACAACAGAGAACACAGTGTGAGAGCTCTGGTACAAGTAGTTGTATCTTAATGTGTTTTTTTGCTGCTGCAGTTTTTGCGTTTACATTTTTAAAGCATGCAGTAAGGTAAAATAAATTGTTCTGTAAAACAGACTATCACCATATAAAACTTTAGTTTTCTTAGAGCGTATTTTTAGGCTTTTCTTAAAAAAGGGGGAGGGAAACTTGCTAGTACTAAGTTACGTTTTTATCATCTTGCCGGATGATCTATGAAGTATTTGCTCTATAGTAAAAAAATAACAACGTTGATATGAGAGCTGAAACTGGACCTCTGGAAATTGCGAAGAGATGATTTTGAAGCTGTTCTGGAAATTACCACATAAAATTTCAATTTAGATGATAATGAAGTTCAGAAAGAAGAGGACTATTAAAAGAATTCCTGAGCTGAATAAACCAGTCCCAGAGCAAAGCAATTTTATGGCCTACCAGTTTCTTAATTTCTGTACATCTGTAGAAAACAGTGCTAATAACTTGCAAAATGCTAATTATTAAGAAGTTGTTTCTAGCCGATATTAATCCTAGTTAATAGTTATATGGTAATAGTTTGACATTAGCCTCAGCTAAATAAAATGAACTGAATTTCCCCAAAGGACTGAAACACAGAGATGTTCAAGAAATGTTAAAAAACCTCTCTCTGATTATTTTAGTTTGACCAAAGACATGACAGGGAAGGAAGACGTTTACCGAGGCCCAGCCATCAGAGCTCTGTGCAGGATCACTGATGTAAGTACAAGTCACCCCGTTGTTTTGGGTGTTAGAGGGTGGGAGCTTGGGAGTTATAGTTTCTTTTCCAAGGCTGCTTTGCTGTCATTGTATTTCCCTTTCAAGAGTATGTGTTTTGAGGACTAATTTGATAATATGAATTCAAAAATTTGATTTTTTTTCTAAGGCTTTTGGAATACTCTGTGCAGATATTTCTGTCTTGCCCTGCTGTCGTGCTCTTCCTGCAGGGCTTGAGCATCAGCCTTTTTCTTTGCTCTTTCACAGGGTACAATGTTACAAGCCATTGAGAGATACATGAAACAAGCCATTGTGGACAAAGTCCCCAGCGTGTCCAGTTCTGCACTGGTGTCTTCCTTAGTAAGTGAAGAAGTAGATTGTTGTAAATCAATGTATTGTGGTTGGGAAGGATAGTCTGTAATATGTGTAATGCCTTGACTGTCCTTTGGTTCTTTTTTAATTTCCTTTTTCTTTAACATGAGTAGTCTTTGCCTCCTCACTGAGAAAGAAACAAGCAAAAAAAAAAAAAAGAAATTGCTTAGAAGGCGACAAGAATGGAGAAA